AGCATGGACAGAAGTGGAGGGAGGGAGGAGCCTGGAAAGGCAGGTTTTGAAGAACCCCGCATGCCAAAATGAGAACTTACATTTGATCCAACAGGGAGAATCAAGAGTTTACTGGCATCACCCCTTACACTTTAGGAAAATTCCCTCGATGGTGGTGTGCAGGATGGAATGGAGCGGAGGAAGACTTGAGACCAGTCAGGAGGGCGTTACAATGGCCCAGACGCATGCTGATAATGGGGGAGGGAGGGAGGGCTGACCTTGGGGGTGAATTTTGTGAGTGGGGAAAGGGGAGTGTACAGGAGAAGCTGCCAGGGAAGAAAGAAAGGAACTGGTAATGAAGGGAGGGAGAAATCGAGGAGGACACCGACTGGCAGAGTGGAGGTGCCCTGGACAGCTCATGAATATGGAAGTGCCCCTGGCGAGTCATGGCAAGATCAAGGGTGTGACCACCCAGGGAGAAGAGTGGCGGCCTAGGTCACCGCAGTTTGACTGAGAAGCTGGAAAATAGGGATTCTGAGGGAATACTCAATCCTCACACGGCATGGACCATGGGCCCTTTACCATGACGGTGACCCTCTTTTGGACACTCCAGCTAACCAATACTGTTGCTAACTTGTGGCCCCCAGAACTGACCCCAGCACTCCAGATCAGGGGTGGGAAGCCTACAGCCTCAAGGCCGCAGGTGGCCTTCTAGGTCCTCAAGTGCAGCCCTTTGATTGATTCCAAATGTCACACAATAGAATCCTCTTACTAATGTGGTTTGTTCTGTGGGTGTGGATTCAGTCAAAGGGCCACACTCAAGGACCTAAGGGCCATGTGTTCCCTACCCCTGCTCTAGATTCAGTCTGCCCAGTGCAGGGGGCAGCAGGGCTGGCCCCTCCAGCACCTCACCCCCATCTCATGGTGGAGAAGCTCAGAGCCTCATCCCAAGCTTGGCTGGCACTGGCCCTGGTCGTGACCCCAAAGGCAGCCTTCAATGCCTACCCTGCAACTCAGAATACACTTCTATTCTAAGGAAGGGTCCACAGAGAGTGGCTTCAGATAACATGGTCCTAGGGAGGAAAGAAGCCAGCTAGCTGCTGCTTGGGTCTAGCCGGAGAGATCTGTTCCATTGGGAAATCACCTTGAATGGGGTCAGTGCCTCTCTTCTCCCATCAGGGGTCTTGAAAATTATTTTTGACTGGCTGTATTCCCAGATGTTATCAAGCACCTCCCCAGCCCTCAGCCTACTGAGGAGTGCAAGCATTTAATTTTCTCTTTGTAAATGGTTTTCCTTTAACGTGCAGGTATTAAAAAGCAATAGCAACCCCACTGACTCCTCTGAAGTCGGCACAGCCCTCACGAGTGGGGAGAAGGAGCAAAGCTTCACCAACCTGCAGGGAGGGCTCATTTCTCTTTCTAGGCCAGCCAAGCTCTCAGCCCAGCTCCTGAACAGGCCTCAGCAGGGGGCAGAGGGCTGGGCCAGCCACTTTTGTGGCTTAATCTATCCAGAGATCACTTGTCCAACATAATGATCTCCAGGCATTAAGACTGGACTGGGCGTGTCAGACAAAGAAAGCAAATCCAAAGAGAAACCAGCCAGGTGACAGCCTCGTCCCTGGGCTTCTCAGCGCTCCATGAGAAAATGGAGCACAGGCTTCACCTTTTCAAAGAGCTCGGGAATGTCGTGATTAATGTCCTCTTTGCAAAGAACCTGCCTGTCCGCTTTTCCTTCCCAGCGCCCCTGCATCTGGTTCTCCCTTCCTGTTCCCATGGCCATCCCCCTAATCTGCCCTGGAACCCCCGGGGATAGCTGGGTCCCCTGCCTTCAGACTTCTGCCCGCTCCTGCCCATCCTGCACCACATCACTCCCCTGCCTCCAACCCCTGAATGGCTCCCCGCTGCCTAGAGGTTAGAGACCAAATTCCCTCTGGCCCCTCCCCACTGGTCTGTGACCTGTCTCTTCAGCTTGCTGTCTGTCCCACACAACTCCCCTGCATGAGCTCTCTGCTCTGGGTCACCAGGCTTATTCTCTGCCCCCCAGAACCTAGCCCAGGCTGTCTTACCTCCCCACCTTTGTGCACCCTGGCCTGGAAGGTGAGGATTCCCCATCTCTCTTTAGCCAAAAGCAGCCTTCCTAAATGGTAGTGTCCAGACCTGAACTCAGAACTCCAAGGGAGGTCTGCTGAGGGGTGAGCACATCCTCCCCATTCCTGAAGATGCCCAAGATCACCTCAAGCTCTGACGCTCTCCATCCTATGAAATTAGGGAAGGACATGCTGGGTCAAACAACACCAAGATGAAGTCAATGGCCACCACATGCCGTGGGAGAAGTGGACAGAACTGCCCTCCCCACATGACTGTCCACAAGGCTCCCAAGGCCGGCAGCTTCTGGTGAGCGTCCCGACTGCCCTTCCCTGGCCAAACCCCTGGCACTGCTCCTCCCTGGCTTCCCCGGCCCCAATGATCCCTCTGTGCAGATGACCCGGCCCTATTTCTCTCCACCTCCCCCGACTTCTCCCAAGAGCCCCCATGCCCACGTGCTGCATGTCCTGGCCCAGCTCCTCAATCTGAGCTCATTCCTCCCCTCACGTCTCTCTCCTGCGTCGATGGCATCAGAACTGAGGAAACCTGGTCTCTTTCCTCCTCACCTGCCCCACATCCAAACAGCTCTCAGTCCCAAGTCATCAAGAAGCCAACCAGCATTGGGTCTATTGGGTGTCAGGAATGGGTCAGCTTCCTTTTTTTTTGAGGCATTCGGGGTTAAGTTGACTTGCCCAGGGTCACACAGCTATTAAGTGTCTGAGGTCACATTTGAATTCAGGTTCGTCTGACTCCAGGGCCGGTGCTCTATCTGCTGTGCCACCCAGCGGCCCATCTTCCTAACAGAGCACACTGAGGTTTGCAGAAAAGCAACTTAACTAAAATATCTCATCTGATCTCCACAACAGCCATAGGAGGTAGGTGCTCTTATCATCCCCATTTTATAGATGGAGAAACTGAGGCCAGGTCACACAGCTAAGAAATGTCTAGAACAGAACTGGAACTCAGGTCTTCCTGACTCAGCAGCAACCCATGCACCATGCCACCTAGCAGTGGTTCACATTCTTGACCGGATGAAGCAGGAATGCCTAAGCCTGGCCTTCAAGGCCTCCCACGGTCTGGCTCCCCCATACCATGGGCTCCCAATCCAGGCCCCAGACAGAATTACTGATCATTGTGGCTCTTGCCCAGCCCACTCCCTTCTCTGTGATTCTGCTAACAACGTTCTCCATTCAGCCAATGGAGTGCTGGGGATGGAGTAGGGAAGATCTGAGTCCAGAGCCAGGGGAAGGCCCTTGCTGTGGGACCTTGGACAAGGCATCTCACCTCTGTCTGCCTCAGTTTCCTCAACTGTAAAATGGGGATCCCAGTCACATCTACCTCCCCGGGTTGTTGTGGGGATCAGATGAGATCACGTTTTGTAAAGCACTTAGGACAGTGCCTGGCACACAGTAGGTGCTTAATAAATGCCTGTTCCCTCCACCCCTCTATTCTCTCTCCTCTCCAGTCTCTAGCTAGTGTCTCTCCTTCGGGGCCCAGGGCATGCCGCCTCCACCATGAAGTCTTTCCAAGCCCCCACCCACCCACTGCCTGAGTGGAACAGTTTGCTCTGCAGATTCTTCACCCCACCTCCCACGGATATCTCCTCTGCACTTATCATGTCTCCCTCTCCCTCTGTACCTGTCAATCAGGCTCACGTCCTGCCAACACCCTCAGTTTGTAAACTCCTTGAGAAGAGGCTCCAAGAATGTCCTATATTCTCAAATGCGATATCATCTCTGAAAAGCGCTTAGCTCAGGACCTGGCACACAGCAGGCGCTACATACATGCCTATTCCGTTCCTCTTTCCCATATTCCTACAGAGCTTTAAGAAAGGTGTATGAAGTCCTTTCCTCCTGTCAAATAGGGAGTGCAAATATCATCATTCCCCCATTTTGCAGAGGAGGAGAACGAGGCTGGGAGCATTCTATCTCCAACCTTCGAGAAGGGACCAAGCGAGGACAGCTCCTGAACCTGGACTGTTTGATCCCAGAATCTTGACTTTCAGCCAGAAGAGCTGGCTTGCTGGGGCTCTCTAACAACCGCACATCTGACAGCCCCAGAATCTAGCCCTTCACCTGGGAAAGGGGGAATCCCTGAACCAGCCTCACGTGGCCCCCAAAGCTAGAGCAGCAGCAAAGAGCTAAACACACGATAAGAGGGTGGCTTGGGTCTGGTAGGACGGGGGGGATGACTGACTGGCAGGCCATCTCAGACCAAGGCCTCAGAGGAGCACCATTAGGCTGGAAGCCTGTAAAGGAAGGTTTCTGAGGAGGGAGAGACTGACCACCATGTACTGGTGGGCTGCCTGATCCTATGGGATCCATCCCAATCCTATTTCTCTTCTGAGGGAAACCTCAGGGTAGCATCCCACAGAATGCAGGGCCTACCAGAGCAGGAGGAAAATGGTGGCACTCATGTCTGGCCCCTGTGAGATGAGGCAACCACAAGCCCTTGTACAAGTTCTTGCACTTTCTGTAGAAAAGAATAAAGGCTGTCCTACACCGACTACGCACTATTACCTCGAGGGTTTCTATGGGATCTGGAGGACCGTTCTGTGGCCATCTTGTACACAATCCACAGCCTGAGATTTCAAAGAGGGAACGTGGGTGGCAGTGAACCCCCACGATAGCCCTCTGAGAACAAACCTCGTTCGGATCCTAACTAGAAGCCTGAGCACACAGCAATGGTTCGGAAAAGAGCCTGTGGAGGATGTGGAGTGTTGTCAATGAAAAATAAGAGAGGGGGGTAATTACATGATACGGTGTCCCTATAAAAAAGCAAACCTCGGCTCGTGGCAGGCCTCTATTAGCAGAGGTATCAGGTGTGAACTAAAAGGGTAATTATTCTCCTCCACTGCGCACTGAGTAGACTGAAGCTGAAACTGTACTCAGCTGGGGGCCCTTATCACAAAAAAGAAGCGCACATCTTTTTCCAACTTCATTAAATTTAGAGAGTGTCAGAGAAAGGCAAATACCGATTGTCAACCATTTGAAAATACAAGATCTAAAGCCATGACAAGCAATCAAATAGAGGCATTTTTAAGTCACGGATGCCCAGAGGAGCCTCCGAGGATGTCCGCAACCACTGAGAAAGGTCCACGTTGGGAGAATGCCACAGAGGCCTCACATCTTACCCAAAGCAGTGTCTTCTGGGCTGAGGCCTAGGAGAGAGCAAGAGAGAAACTCATTTTAAAAGCACCTCCAAGTCACAAGTTAAAGGCACATCTTGGGGTCAGACACATGGGGCCTCTCACCGTCAGAACCATCTGCACTCGCCTAGCACATCAGATCATACAAAGCCACTATCAGGAGGTGATCCTCTCCCTGCCCCAAGAGAACCCAGACTGCTTGGACCGATCACATCTTTTGGATGAGACCCAAGTCACAAACTGTCGTCTTGGGGTTAGCGAGCCCAGCCAGGCCTTCCCAGCTGCAGGTCCTCTAGGACTTACCACCAGTCTTCAGGGCCTGCCCAGCAAGGCCCTGGGCTTGGCCTGCACCCACCACTGCAGCCTGAGGCCTTACTGGCCTTGCTTTCTGCCTTGAGGCTCAGCAACTTCCACAATGAGAGGGCAAGCTCCTTGAGGGCAGGGATTGTCTGCCCTTTTTATCTGAATCCCCAGCCCTTAGCACTCACTCTTCCAAACCCCTTCTGCCTCCTGACTTTCTTCAGTCTCCCCTCAACGCCCCTCTCCCCAGCTCAGGAAGCCTCCCCTAATGCTGGTGTCTTCTCTCTCAAATGATTTTTGCCTTTTCCTATAGGTACCTTATATGCACTGGGCTGTTTGCATGTTGTGTCCACCTGCAGACTGTGAGCTCCCTGAGGGCAGGGCTTTGCATCCTCTGTGCTCAGCACAGTGCCTGGCACACAGCAGGCACTTAAGAGATACTTGCTGGCTCCACAATTGGTATTACCCCAGATAAGCAAACAGACTCAGAATGAGGAAGTACGTTGGTCCAGGGCCCCAGCCCTGGTCAAGGGCCTGGCCAGGATATGGCACTGCCTGACAACAATGCTACCTGGGGCATGCTGGGCTCATAAGGGATGGCACCTGCGGCTTCCATAGGAAGCAAACAGCACGTTTCTAAAAACAGGCTACTGGGGAAAGGAATTTCCTCAAGATTTCCTGGCATTTTGCAAGACAATTTGAGTAGCAAGTCCTTTCATGTCTTAGCCTTTGTCTGAAGACCACCATGGCAGGGAATCCTGACGCTTTCAAGGCGGGCCCCTCCCCTTAAGGGTGGCTCTAATTCCCTCCTGCCCTCTGACCCTTGCTGACCCTTCCTCCATCCTTGGCCAGCTCCCCTGTACACCGTTTGACTTCTGAAGGCAGTTCCATGGGCCCCGAGTCTTCTCCAGGCTAAGCACTCCACTTTCCATTCCTCTGTGCCATGGGTCCAAGGCCTGCTAGCCTTCTCTTGTTCTCTCTAGCCTCTAGCTCTATCTGGCCCCAGGGCACGGGACCAGAAGCAATTTAGAATACCTGGCTTCTAGTCCCAGCTTTGCCAGGACTTTGCTGTGTGACCTCGGAGAGATCACTAGACCTCTCTGGGCCTCAGTTTCCTCACCAGGCTGTTGGGCTAGCTGATCCCTAGGTCTCCTTCCCCCTCTCAAATCCTAGAATTCTGCCTTTATTTTTTTCTTTCTTTCTTTTTTTTGTATTACAACTTTCTGTCTGCTGGTGTTTTATGTTTTAATTGCAATGCTCCCCAGATCCTGATTTATTACAGCAAAGTGTAAAACATGCCATTGTTCACATAACTGTGATTTAACAAAGGCACTTTATTGGGAATATAAAGGGGAGTAATAAATGTCCAACCAGACGCTTTGCAATTAAAAACAAAACTTCTCTGCCGTACAGAGAAACCCCATATACAATGAATGGAGCTGCTCCCTCCCCAGCCTCCCGTCTCCCAGATGTACCATCACCATGCACCGGAGATTCCCTGCCCACATTCATCTGGTCAGCGCAGTCTTATTCTCCAACTACCTGCATCGTTTCACATTCTTAGCTCCCAAATGATGCCCAGACGTTTGGCCCACATTTTACCATCCTCTTTGGCTCACAATCACCAGTTCTATCAATAAGGAGGCAAGATGGTTTTCGACATGACGCCCTCATTCACTGGCTCATTAAACACGCCAGGGCCCAGCCCACTGCTCACGAGGAATAGATGCTTATGGGCTCAATCAGCATATGCACTCGCCTAAGCTATTTTTGAACAGATGGGTTTCAGAGTTATATCTTAGAAAGATGAGAGGCAGCCTGGTATGGTGAAAAGTCAGCTTTAGAGTCAGGGAAACCTCGGTTCCTGGGATCTGGAACTGGAAAGGACCGTAGAGACCAGCAAGTTGAACGATCTCTAAGATCCGTTACAAGACCCTCCAAGGGGTTTATGGATAGTTTTCAGGGACCTACGAACTTGTTTTTATATATGCTATTTTAATATTTAACATATATAAAAGACAACTATTTTAATATAGTGGGTTTCCTTTTTAATCTCATGCATGCTACGCATTAAAAACATGACTCTGAAAAGGGTCTCATGCGCTGGATGCCTTATGCCAAAGGAGTCCAAAACACAAAAAAAGTTTAAGGAGCCCTGGGCTAATTCAACCACACACTTTACAGACGATGCAACTGCGGCTCAGAGGTATTAAATGACAAGACTGGAGGTCCCACAGGAAGTGAGAAGCAAAACTGGTTTGACCCCAAGTCATGGGCCTCTGGAGCTATCACAGAACCAAGACAACAGCATGGTCTGCTGGCAAACTGGCACGCAAACCCCCATTTTCTGGATCTTTTTCCTCCTGCATCAATTTCCTTCCCTTTGCCAATTAGAGGTAGGCAAACCAAGGCTTCTTTCTCCCCCAGTTGTCCCCTGGGTCAGCTGAGGCCTATAACCGATTTGTGTGCTACGTTTAACAAAAATCGATGTATTCATTCAACATTTATGAAGATTCCATTGCCTAAGATTCTATTCTACTACTCTCCATTGGGTAGCTGCTGGCTGAAAGTACTAAGTACAGTCTTCAATAGCTAAGTGGTCAAAACATGAACAAAGACTTTTCTAAAGAATATATGAAGATAAAAAATTTACCAAAAAATGAACATAATCACAAAAACAGAATAGATGAAGATATAAATGACCACATGAAAACATGGTCCAAATCACTGCGAGAGAAGTGAAAATTAAAACAACTTTGAGGTTTCACATCTCTCCGTGAAAATCGGCAAGATGACAAGAAATGAGGATAATCAACATTGGAGGGGCTGTGGAAAGGCAGGCACACGTACGCGCTCAGAAGTGGTCCGAGTGTTCCACATTTCAAGATGGAATTACATGAGTGACTAAACTGTCCATATGCTCTGACCCAGAAATCTCAACGTTGGGCATAACTCACAAGGGAATCAAAGACAGAAACAAAGGTACAATATGTGACTAAATACGCAGAACAGCAGTCTCTGTGGCAGCAAAGAACTGAAAACCACATGTGTACCCATCACTTGGGAGAGTGGTTGAAAACACCATGATACAAGAACATAACAGAATGTTATTGTGCAGTAAAAAATGAAGAATAGCGGGCAATTCAGAGAAATTTGGAAAGATCTGTGGACTAATATAGAGCAAAAAAGCAGAACCAAAGGCATGACAGACCCAGTGATGATGATTAGACAAATGAAAAGGTTCCCTGAGGAAGCTGGCTGCTGAATCATGGAAAAACCAGCGACAGGCCCAGAAAAGTGACCATTCAACAGACTCCAAGGACAGAAGAGTCTGACTCGACTGGTGCCAATGACATCCCCTGAAGGGCTGGCACCGTGCCAGCTCCTACTGTACGTTTCTACTGGGTTGGAACCAATGGCCACATTTCGCATATTTTAACTCCAAATCCCGCCAATGTGAACACGTGTGATTCACTGCACCCATCGGGACCTGGTGATGCCACCAGGCGAGGTTTCTGCAGGAGCCACTTTTGCTTAATAGATTACCTGCGTCTCAAGAAAGGAGGGAGGAGGGAAGTGGGAAATGATTATAGAATATGAGAATATATTACATCAATTGGATGTGTTTTTAAGGAGTTTGTTACTGCTCACACAGAATTGAGGCACAGTAGAAAGAATTCTGGTCTTGGAGGGGGAAAGATCTGGACTCAAAATCATCTTCAACACTTAGAGACATTTCACTTCTCTGAGACTCTTGTTGCCTCACCTGTAAAATGAGACAGGGTGAGGGTGGGAAGTGTCCATGGCCTCTGGAGACCCCTCCAGTTCTCACAACAGCCTGCAGGCAGCGCACATGGTAAGAACACAACTGAGCCCACATGTATAACTCTTTGGTGGCTAAGAACTGGAAATTGAGGGGATGCCCATCCATTGAAGAATGGCTGAATGAGTTGTGGTATATGAATGTAATAGAATACTATTGTGCTATAAGAAATGATGAACAGGCTGACTTCAGAAAAACCTGGAAAGACTTGTATGGTCTGATGCTGAGCAAAGTGAGCAGAACCAAGAGAACGTTGTACACAATAACAGCCATGCTGTGCGATGACTAACTTTGACACACTTAGCTCTTCTCATCAGTGTTAAGGATCTAAGACATTCCCAAAGGTCTCATGATGGAAAACGCTATCCACATCCCAAGAACGAACTATGGAGTTTGAATGCAGATCAAAGCATACTATTTGCTATTTTTTCCTTCTGTTTTGTTTTGTTTCCTCTTTCTGATGGTTCCTCCTATTGGTTCTAATTCTCCCTTATGACATGACTAATATGAAAATGTTTAATAGGAACATATATGTATAGCCTATATCAGATTGCTCACCGTCTTGGGGAGGAAGGGGGAGAAAAATTTTAAACTCAAAAGCTTATGGAAGTGATCATTCATAAATCAAAATAAATTAATAAAAAAATTAAAAGAACACAACTGAGGCCCACACTGGGACCAGGAACCCAGGACTGCTGAGGCCGTGCCCCATCTACTGCACCATGATCCCTCCTGGAAGGAGCTCCTGGGGGGGCCCAGTGAAGGAAGCCATGCTTTAGCGGGCCTGATGCCTCCCACACAGAAGACCCCTTGCTGTGCCCCTATTTCAGTTCAAGCCGCCCTTAGCCAGCACAGCGGCAGTGGAGGTGCCGCCGTGGAAGTGTCTGCC